GATTCTTGACAACCAGGAGCGAGCACCTGCACTTCAAAGACAAGTCTAACCACATTGATACGCCTGGCCGAATGGAAGCCGTGTCTTCGATTTCTAAAGGCCCGTTTACACTTGCAATTTTTGCAGCGCGATTGTCGCGCGACAATCGCCACTTTGCTCTCGCGCACCTCAAATCGTACGTGTAAACAGCCCTGCGATTATTGTCGCGGCGATGCCGCTAAATTTCAAGAATGTTCGAAACTATAGGCGATTGCGCGCGACAATCGCGCTGCAAAATTTGCAAGTGTAAACGGGCCTTAAAGCCCCGTCTACACGAGCAATTTTTATGTGACAACTATATGTGACAATTTTTTTTCCGTGTGGGCAGGCAGCAAATAATTGTTGAAGACTCGCGCCAACTATGATTTTGCACAGCGGAGAAGTCAATAAATAAAACAAATTTAAATACTATAGCTTCGTAAGAGTACTAGAGATAATAAAACTTTAACAAATACGATATATTTTTAATCTTAACATGTTTCAGCATTACATTATGCCATTCTCAGAAGAATGGGGATGAGAATGAGCAATTAAAAATTGTCACATAAAAATTGTCCGTGTAGATGAGGCTTAATTCAGAGGTCTGAAGTTCAAGACTCAGAGGAGCTGACATTTCTTTAATTAGATTTCTTTCCTTGTCAAAAAATAAATAAATTCAACCAAATATAGATCAGGGAACCCGGTAACTGTAACTTAATGAGTAAATTAATAGAGAACAATGAGAATAAATTATAATTCTGAACACAAGTAACGAAGGCTCAAGTTTACAGGAAAGTGAGTGAGTGAGTGAGTGAGTGATTGAGTGAGTGACAGTCTCGTCCCACTCCAATAACTCTTCGATTGCTTCGCAATCTTCGAGTTAAAAACGATGGAAGAATTTAATGAACGACAGTCAGTCTCAAATGATACTGAGCATTTTCTGAGGTTTCGGACTCCAGAAACACCAATATCTTCTGGACCCAGGTGTACGGAGTGTGAATAGATCCTGAAGCTTCTACGTCATGTACCGTATACGCAATGCATTGTAGGATATAATTGGGACAGAACATGTCGGATTTCTTTTGTTGTCTCTAGAAACTGATCCCACCATGCATTGGGAAAATCGAAGCTCAATTCTTGCCAGAATGAGAGATGACCAACGCAGGGACGTTGACTGTATCACCAAATCATAACAGAACTTTTGGAATTGAAACTCCATTGAATGAACTAGCCTCTGACGTAGCCTCGATCAATGCATGACGTAGCTTTGGTTGACGATGACGCACGTTCATTTCATTATATGACGTCACTCGCCCCTGTTCCTTATATTTGCCGGGAAGAGAGAGTTAATGTAGGAATTGCTGCTCACTGAAATAGATATATAATTCGGTTCTCTCTACCTATAGCCCTCTAAAGACCTTAATAAAGTAGACTATAAGAAGTTGATGCGAGTATTTAATTAAATTAGCTGTTAGGTCAGACAGGCCATCGACGAGAATCTGCCAAACACAATTTACTTTCACAACAAAAGTGTTTTAAAGTAAGGTTCAACAGTCAGTTTAGTTACCTTAAAAAGTCATTTATTCTTCTTGAAAATACAAAGAAATGATTTTTATTACGTATTGTTTGCCTTTTGGTCTCTAAGTTCATTCAAGGCATGTATCATAAATTATCTTTCCTTTTGTTTGAATTCAGCCCTGATTTGTGATTAGTCGTTTTTGTTTACCAAAGAACTTTCCTGTCACAACCCCAGCTCGTAATCAAATAACAGAATCTCGTGGTCACTCGGTACGTCAAACGTTGGCATCCAAAAAGTCTTCTTTGAGTGACAAAAAGTCTTTGAGGCTCTCAGTCGGAGTCGAGGCAGATTTATAGACTCTCCAGACCTGTTTGCATTAGTTTTCTTGTCTTGTTCGCAAGTTTTGTCGAGCAATGTTCAAACATCAGTCGTCAATTATAAAGTGGTAAAAAAGTTTGCAATGCTACCAACAAATATTCAACTAGTGAAAGCTGCTAAAGTCATTCTTGTCACTTTAGCGGCTATTTCAGAGGTGCTCTCTCAGGGATGGCAAGGTTGGTTTCAATGTCTAAAACTATATATTATTACATATCATTTAGGTATCAACTTTGTTGTAATTATCATTTTCTTGTGACATTATTAATCCTCAATTTCACGATGATTGACGACATTTTGTCTTCGAAGTAAAGTTGCATTTGATTCACGTTAATGTAAGGTAGGTTCAATTGCCATGAGCACGCTCTCGCTAACCAAGGCTATAACATCAGTCTTCTCGAGATTTTGAGATTTGAACAGTTTAAACGGTTCTGAGAGCAAAACTGTGATTGAAACTCAAAATGTTCCACATTTCTTTGTTACAGATTCTAGCCAATTCTTCCTGATTTAAATATAGTAAAACATATTTAGGATATTAAGAGCTACATGTTCTCGAAATTTGCAAGAAATTTGTCTGTCTTTTCTTTATTTAATTTTAGGTGTTATATAAAAAAAAACCTGACACGTTTTTAAAGCGATAAACTGAAATATAAAATGAAAATCGCATCTGGCTGCGAAAACACCTCAGTATCGTCGGGTATCATAAGCTCATAATACAACTTGTCAAACAAACTAGAACTCTTTTAGATTAAACAAGCCTGTTTAGAAATAAAAATATTGGGGAAACACAGAGAAAGAAAATAATCTACCAAATGGACAAGAAACATATGTTTTAATTCAAGTAAAATGTCACAGAAACTCAATCAAAAACTCTTTGGTTTTGACAGATAGCGAAATTTAATTTCCCTTCTTCGTACATGCATTGTTTGCTATTACTTTATCAAATATATAAGAATGGGTCATCTAGATGAGTGCGAATCAACTAAAAAGCAATATAGTAAATCTTGAAGCCGACGGAAGCAGGCGTCATTACACTTTTTTTCGGGGAGAAATAACGGTGACTGCTTTACAGTGCGTGAGTTTAAGTTAATCAAAAAACATATGAGAAACCGCTGTGATTCTAATTTTGTGATTTTATAAGTTCAAAATGTGAATTAAGATAAAGAAAAATGGAAGGCATGTGAAGGAATACTGAGAAATGAAAAATAAGAAATGAAAATCAAATAGGAATGAAAGAAACTGAAAAAGAATAGAATAGGTAAAGAAACAATAGCAAACAAGCAAACAAACGAAAGTGAAACTAGAAATCTGTGGAACACACAAACAAATATATAAATCTACTAACATGATGTTTCTGATATCACGTGCTTAGATTGTCGCAAGCCACTAGGAATGATAAATGGTGCAATACGAGACAACCAGATCAATGCTGCATCTGTATATAACAATGACACCTTGTATGAGCCATTCTGGGCAAGACTCAATAACCGTGGAGGGTACAGAGCGGATCCTAAAGCGAATCAAGCATGGATAATGGTTCGCTTCAATAAACAAACTATAGTTACTGGTATTGCAACTCAAGGCTATAACGATACCGTCATTAAAGAATGGGTTGTGAAATACTATCTTGGATACGTCAATATTGCGTCTCCTGGATACTTTTTGGATCGTAAAGGTGGAAAACACGCAAAGGTTAGTCACAGTCATTACACCTGTTTAATGACCGACCACACCCTTTCTCGCAATGTAATAATCAATCATTAATTAGACCTCGAGGAAGAATGGATCAAAATCCTAGATTCAGTATTAAAATATTTACAAACAGTACTAATCATTTCACAGCTCTATGGTAAACTAATATAACAAAATTTGAGTTATCCACTAAGCTTATATTCTAAGTAACAATGCGCGCAAAAAGCAGGCAACTTTCTATTGTTCTGCGGCAATTGCAACTTCCCCACATACGAATGTCTTGGTTTTCACACTGATTATATATCAACCTATGGGTATCAGATTTTGAAAATAAAATGTGGATAAACTCTGTTTTGAAACAAAGTTTCCTTTGTATTAAAAGATCTTGTCCAATCATAAGCACTCAAAACAATAGCCAAAAAATGCTTCTAATTTGCTATGTTCCCCACATAGAATTGCTATTAATATTAAAGCTAAGGAAAGCTTTTATGAAGCCGGAAACAGATATTAAATAAAATATTAAAAAATGCGCTTACTTTTGAAATTATGTCAAATTTTAATGTTTTAACCAATGAGATGGATGGATTATACAATACAAAATTAGCACCTTCATGAATTCCATTGCCGTTTGCTTGCCTGCTTCTTACTCGGAACATTACTTAAGTCTAACTAGAACTTTTGTTCATCAGCAATTCGATGGAAACACTGACAGCAACACAGTTGTTCGTCACAATGTACCAATCCCCGAGACCGTGACATCTATCAGCATCATGCCAATCCAGTGGAACACGAACTTTGCGATACGGTTTGAGCTGTACGGTTGTTTAGCAGGTGCGTAACAGACACGTAAGACAGAAGACAGATACACAAGGCAGTATTAACGTCGATACGTAAAACGTAGATCAGTTGCGCAAACGTAAAGTAATATCTACGTATAAAATATTGGCAAGTAAGAGAGCACATACAAATCAATCCGCAAGACTGCATTGTTCACGTAAATAGATTACAAAATATAAATACGTAAGAAAGTAGATACGTAATTACGTAGTAATAGGAACGTAAAATATTGACGGGTACATATAAGACAAAGACGTAAGGCAGCATTAGCCACGTAATTATTAACGTAAAGTAGATATGTAAGAAAGATAGTCGATGCTTTACGTACGTATTTCTCCTCTATTTCAGATGGTTACGAGTGTATCAGTACACCATGTCAAAACAACGGTACCTGTGTTGATCTTATTGCTGGATATCGGTGTAACTGTACAGCGGGATTTACCGGAGTCAACTGTCAAATCAGTGAGTATCGTACCCTCTTGCGTCTTTCTTTATGTACGCAGACCCCTTACAATCTTCGCGTTCCAAAAATCGATTGTCGGCCAAAAGAAACCTCATCAATCATGAACTAGAAAAATCTATGCAAAGTTGTATTATACGAATCAAAAGTATGATTCTCGTGAATGTGTTATCTTTATTGAATTATTAATTAGATATCGATGACTGTGTTGGAGTCACGTGTCAAAATGGCGGGAACTGTTCAGACCTTATCGAGGATTACTCGTGTGACTGCCCTGCTGGGTACAGCGGGCGACATTGTGAAATTGGTGAGTTTACAAGATAAACAATCACTGCCATCGGATATGGTGGTTTCTATCAACAATATAAAGACATTTTTTAGGAATAAGCTGCTGTTTTAATCATCATTATCGGGATCGATACTAGACAATGGAACACAGTACACTGTATTTGATAGTTAAAGACATACAATAACTACTGGACTATTATTATCTTTGTTAGATGTGGACGATTGCTTAAGCTTACCATGTCTTCATGGAGGTACGTGCAGAGACCTCATTAATGACTATAGCTGTACGTGTACCGAATGGTTTGGCGGGAAAAGCTGTCAGGAAGGTAAGAATTCAACAGCGCAATGAATATATATGTTTGTCATGACAACGCGTGACGTCATAGTTTTAAAATCATTTGTTTTATTTTAGAGGCCGGATTCTTTCTTGTCGTTTGGTTACAAATTCAAACCAAGGTGTTTACGACGGACTATCTAGATAAGACATCTTTACCATACAAAACTACTGCAGCTCAAGCTCGAAATGAGATGACACAAATGTTGACGTCTGAAGAAGGATTTTTATCCACAAAAATAAGACAATTCAGGTATGATTTCTAATCAATCATTCATTCAATCAAGCAGTCAATCGGTTAATCGAATTAGCCAGTCAACTGATTATTCGTTCATTCATTGATGACTGAAGTCGTCGTATTTTTTCCGTTTTTAGTCCTGGTGTCTCTCTCACAGTGGAGGTCCAAATAAAATGTCTGATCAACAGCACGTACCAACTAATAAATACAACTAATGAGATTATTCGACACGGGAAAGGAATATTCAAGAATGACTACGTGATATTTGAAAATACAGGTACACACCAACGAGTAAATGACATGCAACAAGAAATGCAAGTAGACTCGAATGATAATATAAAAGTATTCCCATGAAGTGTGACGCCATTTTGGATGGGTTATCAATATATTAAAGTTTCTTTTCCTGTAAATTTCCACTGAGATGATCAGTTTTACTCTATGCTTTCTTATTGGCTTCTATTAAATGATAGTACATGAATAGCGTATAAAAATATTCCAATACAACTGAAAATCTGTTCCTATTTTTGTTCTTGTTTCAGCAACTACTGGCTGCAAGCCACCAAATGTTACCCTACCCCTATCAACAACCATGGCCACACCCACTGACGTTAGCCGGTATTTAAACATCAGTATTCCAATGCATTCTGTTCTATCATGCACTACAACGTTTAATGCGTCATATCACGTGACTATATACTCTATAAACAACTCCACTGGTGCATTTCAGCTGGTGTATTCCATATATGGCATACTATATAGCAACACGACTTGGGTAATTCCTGCAAAAGCATTGCAGTATGGGATACATTACGTCAAAGTGACGTCACATATCGCTGGTCACAAAGGTGCTAATGGTATCGTCTGGGGATTGATTCTCGTTGGAGAGACGAAGCTAATTTCTAAGATAACATCGAGAAATATGACCTATCAAGGTATAAGGGAAATCTTCTACTTGAACGGCTCAAAATGTTATGATCCTGACCTCGGACCAGGAAATTACAAAGACTTAGAGTTTATTTGGCTATGTAGAAAAGCTAACGAGAGTTTTAACGGCGATCCGTTGACTCTGCCAGTAGTTAATCCAACCGCGTCGCAGAGCAGTGACCATGGTGGTTGCTATGGTAACGGAGTAGGGAGACTGGAGCCGAGAAAGGGGCATCCGTACGTTGTGGGTCTAGATGTCGATAACATGGAAGGGAATAGACTGTATGCTATCGCACTTGTTGTCAAGAAAGGAGAGCGAACTACATGGGCTACAAAGCATGTATTTGTGAAGGAGGAGATTGATATATCATTAGTGTAAGTTTTGGTTTTGAATGTTAACTGAGTTATTAACACTATTACATGCTAAATAAAACAAACTATTTTTTACTTATAGATGTGTTCAGAATTGCCGCGCAAGTGTTATCCCTTCAGAACGGCTGGTTTTAAAGAAACAATGCGAAGGCCTGCTGTGTGATGAAATAACCAACTACAATTGGACTCTCAAGATATTTGACAAACTCTCAACTAAATGGACCGTCATCCCCGATATGTCAGACTACATGCTGACGTACATGAACTCGCCTAACCTCGTGACTAAGGAAAGCACTTTGCCAGGCAACTCGTCATTCCTTGTCACTTTAACCGCAAAGGCTCCTGGGAATATCATAGACACGACGACTTATCGATTTGTCACGAATGCTCCGCCGAGCGGTGGCCGATGCGATGTCAACACGACGGAAGGACTAGCTTGGCTTACGTATTTTGGCTTTCGTTGCGTTGGCTGGAAAGACCGCAATTTACCATTGTCGTACAGATTTCGATATAACACGAGCGATGGGATTGAAATGGTGTTTTTCTCGGGAAGATATCGATTTGCCACAGCGAAACTCCCAGTTGGTGATGCCAATGATGGTTATAAATTGAATATTAAGATTGAAATCACGGATTCAATAGGCACTAAAGCACTGGTTTGGATGAATGTCAAGGTAAGGGACACTAATTTGATCACTAAAGTGATTTTTAAACAAAGTATACTGCAGCGTTGGGCTACTTTTATATCTAACTGCTCAAGAAAGAGAGTTTTAATTTTTTTTGTACATTTTTGCGGAATATTTCAGGTGCTCGAACCAGATATAGATACTGCACACATTGATAAAGCAATTGGGAGCGAAGGGAAGATGGAAAAGTACCTCAAAGATAATAACATCGAGCAGGCAGCACAATACGCTACCTCGGTACTCTCGGTAGTCAATAATGCCCAGCCTAAGGACCTGGTACTGAAAAAGAGAATCGAGGTAAGGCTGATAGATGTATCAGTACGAAAACAGCGGCACTAGGGGGACTAGCAGTAGAGTAGGCAGAGGGGCTGGTTCTCTTCCTCCTTTACCACTACAGCAACAATAAAATAGTAACATCAAATTCAACAACACAAATGACAAAGAATTAGTTGCTGCAGTACAACTAGCTACAATGGCAACTACATCATATACTAACACAACAGAGTAACAACGATAACAACAGCAGGCTGATCGAACATTCGAATTGACAGTATTTATTGATTTTTTTCTATAGATCAAAGATTCCATTGTCAAGTCCTGGTCATCAATCGCCGTCAAGAACCTCGATGAGATGGGCCAAGTATCGGCCGTTGTTTCAGCGGCCTCAGATAAGAAGGACGAGGTATCCATGGATTCGCAGGTAATTTCATGTCCTTGGGATCCCTGTATAAACAAAGGCATGGGCCGCCTTCATCCACCCTCGTAGTCATGTTATTATCACAATACCTTGTTGTTATTTTTAAACTTTAAATGAACGAAAATTATTAGTAAATAAACTCTTCGCTTCCAAAGTGTACTGCAACACAACGATTAACTTTCGCGTTTCATGTTGACGGAACTGAGCAATATATTTCAATGGTAAACATTCTTTTTCTCTACAGGAGACATTAGTGAATGTTTTAGACGACATGGCGTCTGTACTTGAAGCAGAAGCTGGTAAAAACAAGGACGGCCAAGAGATAACAATACAACATGCTGGTACTGGCTTACTGCAGGGAATTGGCAACTTGATGGAGGTGGCAGCGGCTAACGACTATTCTTGGTCAAGAAGAAGGAAAAGAGACACTGATGATAGATACAAAAACAAGAAAGTGAGTGTTTTATACGATGAATAAATGAATGAAGGGATGAAAGAGGAAATAAAGGAATGCATAAATGAAAAAGTGGGAAATGGGATGGGATGATTCCCGAACAAACTAAATTACGAAGGACAAAGCGAAGAAAAAAAAGTTATGTATCAGCCACCCGTTAAATCACCTTTTTACTTCAGAGCATATCGCTGGTGTCAAAGACAGCACAATTAATTGATAAGGTTGCTGACAGCCTGGTTAAAACCAAGGAACTTTACGAAAAGCCAACTTTCTTCAAAACCAAGACCATGACGATGGCTTTAGACAGACAGAAACCAGACTTGATTGGCGACAAAGCTATCCAAGATGGCGACACAAAGATTGTAATTCCTCCAACAGCATCTCTGTTAAAAGAAAATGAAGGTCACAAAGACGACTTTCTGAGTTCGCAGGTAAAGACACAGAGAGGGAGATTCTCTCTATTKTTGTTAGTCTATTTGCTGAGCTAATTAATGTGTTGATCAGTTCATTGTTCTTAATTTAGATGGTTTCAATGAAGTCAAATCCATACACTTGGGACTCTAGTGCCAACTACATCAAGTCCAATGTAATAGACCTCCAGATTAAATCATCTAAAGGCACAAGCCTTGAAATAAGTAATCTATCCAAAGACTTTGATCTCTTCATTCCTGTACAAACTCGTACCAAACCAGCTGATCTGAAATCGTACTTTGTCAAGCCAAGTAAAAACGGCAGCATGCAGTACCACGTGATTAATATTCCAGGAAAGGAATATTCTGTTTCCATCCAGCTGCAACCGTTGTCAAGCGTGAACATTACAATGTACGTAAGGTATGGTTCACGCCCAACGACGGATGAGTACAATTACACGACCACCGTACCAGACTACACGACTTGTAACTTTACCCTCGCCAAAGGATACTTTAATTGCAGTTCGGATCCATACGCAGTCACTATATCAAGTGCTATCACAGGTCATGTAGGAATTCATTACATGGGCGTTGTCTATCGCATGAATAACATAACCCAGCCACACAACAGAGTCAAGAGAGACTGCATGTCGACTGGTGGTCGTCAGAARAGGGCTTTGTGTGTCGAAGTAAAAGCTCCACCGCCAACTAAATCATCCAATGACTTAAAGCCCGTGTATGACCCTGTTAATGACGTCAATTATACTCTATCTGTAACCATGGCTACGTGTTTGTATTGGAATGTCACCACACAGACATGGACATCCAAAGGATGCAGAGTAAGTGAGATAAGAAGAATCTCCATTTTGATAAAAAGATGCAACTGAATTCTCAGTATGATACAATTTTCCAAGGAAAGATCTTCCTAATCTAAACTCAGTTCCTTTTCATAATAACTCACAGGTTGGTTCTAGTTCCAGAGTTGGACTTCTACACTGTTTGTGCAACCATCTAACGTCGTTTGGTGGCAATTTCTTCGTGGCGCCGAATCCAATCGATTTTAATAAAGTAGCGCAGCGCTTTGTAGACTTCGACGCCAAAAACTTCGTGGTTTTCATTGTCGTATTTGGGATATTTGGTTTGTATCTTGCAGCTTTGGTCATTGCGAGACGTGCGGACAGGAAAGATGAAGTAAAGGTTGGTGTTGTTGTAAAAAAATCATAAATGATATTGTTTACGACGTGCGCGCGGACTGGGGGCATTGTTCGTCGGGGAGCTCCCTATTTAAAGATGTCATCAGTGAAACTAACTATAAGGTTCTTGTTCTACAGGCTGTCGAGACACTCCGTGTGTCATCAAGTGCTGAGCATCACTATGAGATATCTATTTATACTGGTATGTGGTGGAATAATGGTACAACGGCTAACGTAGGGTTAAAAATATACGGCCATGAAGGAGAAAGCGATGCAATATTCCTAAGTGACAGATACAGTAAGCGGAAACTCTTTGCAAGAGCCAGTGTCAACACCTTCATRGTGTCTTTACCTGAATACATAGGTGAAATCATAGCGATTAAGCTATGGCATGATAATGAAGGTGACAATCCTTCGTGGTACGTCAATCAAGTCATAGTCCATAATATGCAAAATGAAACGTCATCGTACGTAATCTGCAACCGCTGGCTAGCTTTGAACAAAGGCGATGGAGAAGTCCAAGCGAACTTTGCCGTTTCAACGAAAGAGGAGCTTGGAAGTTTTAGCTACCAGTTTTCTAGTAGAATTTCCAAGAACCTCGGAGATGGCCATCTTTGGCTTTCAGTGGCGACTAGACCTCCGCATAGTCCTTTTACACGCGTCCAAAGGGTTTCCTGTTGTCTATCGGTTCTTTATTGTGCGATGGTTGCCAGTGCTATGTTTTATCAATTCGGCGCAAAGGCGACAGAAGAGACTTATAAACTTGGTGCTCTGCGTTTCAGCATTAGACAACTAATCATTGGATTACAAAGTGCTATTGTTATAGTTCCATTAAATCTTCTTATGGTTACGATATTTAGAAACACTAAGCCACGTTCAAAACTTCGACCMAAACGTTACACCCCTAAAGAGAAAAACKCTGTTAAACAGCCAGGATGTYTGCCCTACTGCTTCACGTACGTCGCTTGGTTTTTATGTGTGTCTTCTGTAGGTGCCGCAGGAACGTTTACAATATTGTACAGTCTGTCWTGGGGAGGGGARATAGCAAACGAATGGCTTACATCAGTTCTCATTGCTTTTGTTCAAGACATTGGAGTAATTCAACCYATCAAAGTTGTTGCCTTAGCWATTATGCTGGCACTCATTATGACGAAACCTATAGAAGAAAAGACGCCACATTCTTTAGAGAAAGCAAACTTAGATATCAACCCACATGYAACTGTTGAACCACCTGAAGGAGAAAGACTCGAAGAAGCTCGTTCCTACAGCAGAAGTTTAATAGAGACGTTCCGTGCCGTGGGTGAAATTGTGGCGTATGTGCTGTTTGTTTTTTGTTTGTTTGTTTTTGTTTATCAGAATCGTGGATACGATCGTTACCGTCTCACGAGGTCAATCGAAGAGATATTTGTCCCATCATTCAACGAGGTAGGATTAWCTCAKAATTCACTAATGCGCATGCGTCGTCAAATGTGCATTGCTTTCCTTTCTGGTAAAAGTTGAACATTTTGGTAAACTGYTTCGAAAACWAATTAGTTTRGACGGAGCYTACAGGTTGGGATTCATTTGTGAGTGAATTAAAAATTGTGTGCCAAAGAAACTGTCGAAAATGATAAAGTGTATTTTCTTTAAAGACATACATTTTTATGTTCAATCGAAGAATTGAGTATATTGATGTTCAATTTCTATTCCTTCTGCTTTAGATTCGTACAATCAATGGATTTTGGAAGTGGGCGAAAGATGACTTAGTCCCAGGCCTTTACGACACAAACTGGTACTCGGCAGGTGGACCAAAATTGCCAGAAGGGTACATATCAAGTAAAGAGGCGTTCCTGGTTGGTATGCCAAGGTTAAGGCAGATACGATTAAAACCAGGTAAAAACATAACATGTTGACGCTCAATTACGGATAAACGAAGTCAAATTTCCAACCGATCGAAACAGAAGCAGTGATCGATACTTTAGAATTKTTCTATTTTATTTTGTTTCTTATATGCTGAGAAAGTTTAATAAGATGTTTAACTGATTCTAGTTACTCCTTGTGAAGTTACAAAGGTTTTTGAATGGAGCAAACTGCGTGTCACCAGTTGTCTATCGTCCTACGAACCGAAACATGAGGAAAGATCAAAGTACAATCTTCCAGGCTGGATTCCTGTTAGGAATGTTACTATCTATGGGACTATAGTAAATCTACGAAAGGTTTGTCCCAAACCGTGGAGATATMARTCATCAAAAGCTCTCAAAACGTTCTCTGTTCAAGGAGTAGACATGGAGTATGATGGCGGCGGATATGTTGCTGACATTGGYTACAATTCTTACACCGCACTTAATGTAATTGCGAGTTTGGAGTCCAAAAACTGGTTGGAYAGGAAAACAACRATGTTGGTYGTAGAATTCACAGTATTTGAGCCATCAAGCTCACTATTTAGCCATGCAAAGTTTCTATTAGAAATGACTCCTCCAACTGGGAAACCTATYCTTTCTACTAAAGTGGAAACACTATCACTTTATGAAAGCCAAAGTGAATCATTTCGGTTGTTCTTTGTTGTGGTACAGATTCTTTTATTGGTTTTTATATTCTTCTACTTGATGGCTGAAGTAGTCAAGTTAATGCGTCTCAGATGTGGGTACTTCAAATCATTTTGGAACTGGATGGACCTTATCCAAYTGCTYTCTGCCATCACCGCAACGGTGTTGTTTTTCTTCAAGACAAATTTTGTGTCTAGTTTTATCCAAAATATTAAAGCCAATCCATACGAGACGACAAGTATTGATTACGTCTTACTGTGGTGTAACCTGGARYTGTACATTATATCCATTGTAATTTTTGTTGTGACGATAAAGTTTTTGCGGTTGCTGAGATTTAACCGTCATATTTGTCAAATGACMGCATCGATGAAGCATTCGTTTGGTTGCATCGCCACGTACACCTTGGTGTTCCTCATCGATATGCTTTCCTTTGGGTTTCTTGGAATCCTTGTGTTTGGTCCTTTTGTCAGAGAATACTCCAATCTTGTGGAATCATTGAGGTCGCTGTTTCAATGCTTCCTTGGAGGCGAAACAGTATTTGATGAACTAGCAATAGTCAATCGAGTCCTTGGTCCGTTATTCGTCATAGTTTATACGGTCAGCATGACCTTCATACTAGTCAATATGTTTATCGCCATTTTGAACGATTCCTATGAAAGTGTGAGGTCACTTTCGGGTGGAAAATTTCCCGACTATGAYCTCGGRATYTTTATGAAGAGTTATTACAAAAGACAGTTTCGTCTCGCTCATGACGCTATCAAGCGTAAGTTAGGAGCGTTTGGTTACAGGACTAAAAAGTACAAACCCAACAACCGACCTCCAAGTGAAGAGATTGGCATTGAAAAACACAGCCATCTTGTGCGATATGCTTTGCTGTCGTCACAAAGATTACGTCATGGATKTGTCAATCATGGCTTTTTGCCTGAGTCTGCACTTTTAATACAAGAAAATAATRACAAACTTAATTCGGAGAAAGAGACTGAACCCTTTAATGAATCACAGCTCGACTCCGAAGAACGGCTGCTRAAATCCGAAACACAGTCAGTAGATTCTSAAGAGGTTACTTTAGAAACAGCAACTACTGCTTCAGTGGCCACRACAGGCTCWACACCTGAACTACTCGATCTGATATCTGATTTACCAGAATCMCTCGTCGACGATGACGATACCATTGATAATGTACGTGAAAAACTGTCCAATGTCGGCGCTATTCTTCGACTTTCAAAACGATCCTATAGACGATTTTCTACTTCTGGGGACAAATTTGTTGTCGAGAGAGAATTCAAAATTGGMAAACCTGTGGAACTGACGATTACACCGAAAGTGACACGTAGACTCAACATTGACTTTCAATAGTTCGGCCTCGARGGTCAGATCAGGCGTCAACATTCTCGGTCATTCTTWCTGACATCACCTTCTTCATATTGAATGATCCAGTGAATTTACTGTTAAAACAGGCAGCTCATGCGAAGGCAATACAWACGAATTACTTGCTAGTTGGGGAGCAACACGAATAGTGTTCACTGCAGAACTTGATTKGAAAATTTTGAAGAACTGTTTTCTAAACCTCCGATTGACTGCGTTGTATATAAACGGATTTATAGCGCTGCTCAAACAACCTAAATATACCATAAGCATATCCAGAGAGCGRGGAAGATTGATGTATACATCTACGTGGATCAAAGTACACCCTGTGAGCCAACAAAGACCGAAACCAGTTACTATTGCTACTAAAGACTTGGTGATGTTGACTTCCTCGATGCTCAAAGCACTAGAACCAGCATTAAGAGAAGCTGAATGTACTTGCACTCGTTTTTGAACTTTCCAATAACAAAACCCTGTCAGGAGTARAGGTACAAAWCCTACAAAAACGTGTGTAATGGCACCTGTTACTCGTTCGTTTGTGTAGTTGGTAAAKGCAGGGTAATACATGTAGCGTCCAGGATAAAAATAAAACACCACAGAGCTGTCTGAAGTGCAAATCACAACACCTGCAAACGATGTGACCCAAGTTGCCAAAATCATCAGTAACACAGGCTTAGGTTTAAACACCTTCTGATAGATTTGTGGCTTCACGACGCAAAAGAATCGATTGAGTGCGATCATKACTGTTGTCAGTATGGAGCCATATACCAAAGTCATACTGAAGCTTCCAAAATACTGCCCTCCCTTGAAGCCGATAACATCGCGGCCACAAGCCGATGCGGCCATCAGAAAAGGCATGAATATCGTAGACGCCATAACATCGGAAATAGCAAGCGTTATAAGATAGTAGCTTGCGACTTTTTTACGAAGCTCTGGTGATTKGTAAAATACATACAAAACGCTTGAATTTCCTAGAAGTGCTACGAGAGCAATGATGAAAAGTAAACTAGTTTCGCCAATGACTTGMGSAAACGATCGATTTGCCAACTCCTTCGCTATTCTCTGGTTATGTTCAAAGTTGTACATGGTTTCAGGATCGTAGGCTCGCTTATGAAGCTA